TTAAAGGAAGTTCCGCCGTCACGAGAATCCATTGGACTCACAGATTCTCACAAACTGTCATTTCGAAGACGCGGAACTTTTTAAAATCATTAATTATCCATCTGTAAAAAGTGAGTCCCCTTTTTCCAATCTGAATAATCCCACCCTGTGCGCGCGCACGCGCTCACGTGTATCAGATGGTGGAGGTGGGTGGGTGGCAAATTGGAACTGGAGCAGATGCCGAAAGGCGGCACGTGAGGAGTTAAAAAAAAACATTCTGGAAGCGAGGTAAAGAAGTTCTAGGACAGATGAACCAATTTTATTGCCGACTGACTTCAAGGTGAACGCCCTTGTGATTCATAAAGTACAAATGTCAAACGAAAATAAAATCCACTCTGGGAGCACCTTCTACCGGGGGAAAAATTAAACTAAACTGTTCATAGGACTGGCGACCAAAATCAGCGATTGGTAACAGACCTAAGGAGAAAACTAGAAACCATGTCATCTGATGATCAAGGCAATTAATTTGCCAATGTCCCTCAAATTTACAAGACGGCAAGATGACAGCATACGTGGTCTCTGATAAAGTCCGGGCAGTTTCTGGCTGATGTTTGCAAAATAATACAAACTTCAGTTCAGTTTTATAAAGAGAAAGTGGGTAAACACCTTTGAGCTCTCTACTAGTACCAACAACATCGCCAGAGAAAAAACGCCGATATATAATGAGCATTGGACAGAAATTTGGAGATAGAATTGCATGCAACCAACGTTGACTTATATGTGGTATTTGCTGATGTGTCATTGAACGTAGCTTTTAACTAAAACCTGTGCCACTAGTATAGTAAATAATTACGTAGGTTATACTACCGAGTATCGGGTGGAAGCTTGCGAATATTAAGCGGTTATCCAGCGATGACTGATGGACTTCGGCCCAAGCATTCATGTGAAATTTAGGTCTGCGTCTATAGACCCTCGAATAAACTGACTTATTCATTTGACTCACTTGTGAAAAACTCGGCGGCCTCGGTAGGATTCCACCCCACGCTGGAAATGGGGAAGGTTTTAGTACAGCTAACGCTCTAACCAACTGTACTAAGGCCTTCCCCTTGCTGGAGTGGATTCGAATCCCACCGAGGCCGCCGAGTTTTTTCTACAAGTGGGTCACGTGGATTATTCAAATTTGCCAAAAACCTTATACTGATTCACTCAAATTTCGAAATTAACTTCGGAGAGTATTAAAAAGCTGTGTGGCGTAAAACATAATGCAAAATGTATTAAAACGGATTACTGAAGTATTGTAAGTAGCGTTCAATTTAACACTTAAACATCGTACGGAATGCACTAGACCACGCACTGTCACCCTGAAAGACATTTGACACAAAAATTATAAAATAGTATTACTGTGTGGGTATTGGGGCTGTTAAATTTATTTACTTAACATTATATGAGATAACAAAGCTCAACATGGACGCAGCAGTTACCTGGGCGACCAGCCTCTGTGATGTCGGCGTGTACTGAGGGCGGAGAGGTGAGGGGTGAGCGTCGGTCGAGCGAGGCTTCATCACACGAAGAGGATTGAGAATCAATGGAGGACTGGGATGCCCGATGTTTGCTAAGTTCGGCAGCCTTCTTCAGACCCAAAGCCAGCATCTTTTGCGCGCGGCTGCCAACACCACCTAGGAACAGAAAGTGCAGAACTATACTATCAA